CCCTGAACCTCATCTTTTCACTTTTAAAAGGGAAAATACTGGAATGTGCTATAAAATCCAGTGCCTAGCACAATGTCTGGCACATAGAACAGCCTCAGTAAATGTTTGATGCTCAAAAGAATGAAATATAGAGATTGTGCTACTTATTTTGCATCTCCTGTAGCACCTAACATGTTTTGGATTGGTGTGTGATTAACAAATATTTGTGATTTGGGTTTGTCTTTGTAATTAAGAATAAGGACCTGCCCCATAAAACAAAACAAAACAAAACACACACTAGCCCTCTTAAACACGGAGAAACTCCTATCAAGAGAGCCTGTGATTTTACTGCACGGACCCATGGGGAGTTGTGGTATTGGAATTAATAACAAAGATCTGTTAATTCTCTGCCTTTGCCCAGGCTGCCTTCCAAGGCGTGATGTGGAATCCTGCTGTTTCTGCTCCAGATAAATCAATGATAATCTTCAACTCAGTGAGGGGCAAGTCATGGGGGTTGCTGTTGCAACTCCTGTGTCAACAGCACTGCTAAAAATCAGATTTCTTGGAACCCATTCATGAGAAGCTTAGAATATGCCAGATTGCTTGCTGGGCCTAAAATACTGCATGCATGTGGCGACCGTGACTTGGTTGTTTCCATGAATCGTCTTTTCCCTTAAGCCATGGGCAACATTTCCAAGTCACATGGCAGGGGTAGGGCTTCCGTCCTTAACAGTATTTTCACTAATGTTTATGGCCTAGGCCTGGCCTGTTCACTACGTACCACTCACTTCCTGGCACGGATTCTGTCCCAACAGGAGCAGAGAAGGCTGGGAAGGAATGGGGAGGGTGGGGTGCCTGTGCCCTCTGAGGACTGGTACCTTTATTTGCCTTCTTGATACCTTCTCTGGGGCAACTTTTGGGTAGGAGAACTTTTTATCTGACTTTCTATTTACTCATCTGTTTGTTTATTCCTTTATTCACTGCTTATTTAACACACTCAAAGGAAGCCCACGCTGAATGGGAAGCACTGTGGTGATTCTGGGGGAGCACAGAGAGGTGAGATGTTGAAGGGCTGAATGTAGGCAGAGAAAAAAAAAGACATCAATCTAACAACTGCTACCCCCAAATGCTAAGTGATTATCTCCAGATGGCAGAGTTACGAGTGGTTTCTATTTTATTCTCTTTCTTTATTTATGTTTCCAATGTTTTTCTTCAGTGACACACATTAGTATTTGTATAATAAAAGTTATTCAAATGGTAAGTATGTGGTCAACAGGTGTTCGGTGCACAGGGAGGTACAGGTGAAGACACTGGGAGGGTGGAGAGGAGGAGAAGGCTATTTCCCATCCAAGTGGAGCTGAAAAGGATTCTGGAGAACTTTTGTTGAATAGGGCCTTAAAGTTGGAGGGAGGCCTTGCTGTGGATGTCTGTGGGATTGTCTGCCTACCACTCTCCTCTCACGTGAAAGTATCCTCTCCCAACAGCCCACAGGAACTGTGCGCTATAAGCTTGCCCTCGCCCTGCTTTGCTTGACAGTTCAGTGGTGGGCGCCTAACCAAGGACAGCCACTCATTAGTCTTACCTGGAATTTTCAGATTTAAAGCTGGCAATATCTTTAGTGAAAGCCTAAAGAGGTTAAATTCAGGAGCTTCATGTATGTGGGTGTGGCAGGGAGGGATTTGGGCAGCCGTGTTTCCTGCAATGTGGATGAAATCACTACACCATGAGAGAGAACGAAATAGGCACCTGGAGAGAAGTGGAGAGAAGAGGTGAGATCAGGAGAGTCGTCGTGAACTCTGAGCCCCTGACTCCAGGTATTCCCAAATATCAGCTGTGCCCTCCTTTTCCCTAGCTCATAGGAGTTGGGTTATGAACTTGCAACCAATGTATCCTGTCTAAGACAGATGTCGCTAAGTGGAGAGAAGTGGTAAAGGATAGTGGTAGAAAAGCAAAGGACATGCAGGGAGCAGCTAGCTGTTGCATTTGCCTGGAAAGTGGGTGGTAAGTTTCTGAGTCTGTTGAGAGGGACTGAGTTAGTACGTGTGGTCACCTGTAAGGATGGCAGGGTTCATATTTCAAGGTTTGAGTTTCTAGCCCTCTGCAGTATCTCACACTTCTCTCAGACCTCAAAAGGCTACAGTTCTATGACCAGCTACCAGGACCGATCTGCCTCCTCCAACATGCACCCCAAAGAAACTGGGGATGTAGTCACAGTGAGATCCTAAGCCAGGGAGTCCCTAAGTGAAGTCCAGCCTTAATGTGGACATGCTTTGCTTCTTCCAGGGGCCACTTAAAGTTGGAAGTGCAGGAATCGTACCCGCTTCTCCTCCTTTTCTGCAGCTTAGACTGAATTTCAGTCTCTCTTCATGATCTGACCATCTTGTGAGCTGTCACTGCAGCCAAACTGGCTCATTTATATATGTTCTCTCCTCTCTCCTTTGGGACCAACTCTGGTGGGCCTGCTAAGTGAAGGGTTAAGAAAAAGAGGTAAGGAAGACTCTGGATAACACACTAATTAGCTAAACCTTCCCAGGAACAAGAGAACATCAGCCACACAGTATCACATAGCTCTTTAAGAAAAGCCCTTGTCTGAAAGTTGGAGGGTCTCATCTTGGGGTACAGCAGGAAAGCTAGACACAGAATTCAGAGTTGAGGCATACTTTCGGCCCTCTTATTCTACAAATGCCCTCAATAAACGAAGGATATGTCAAGAACCCAGGCCCTGGACAATTTTAGCCATGTCACACTGACAACTGGTATACTAAAGCAATTTCGGTTCCTCATCATCTGTCTCCATCTTTAGCATCTTGACTCAAACCATGCCCAGGAAGAGTGTTCAGAGAATACAGGCTGCCACACAGATCAGGCGTTTCTCTCCAGGCTCCAACACACATGCTCAGCCTGGATCAATAAGCCTGACCGTGTCTCTCTGGCTGGGATGGGAAACTGTCTGGACACACAGGTGGAGGCAGCAAGACTCCATGGGCTGTGTCTGTTTTATGCTTACCCAGTTACCTTAGCAACAGCATCTGCACCAGGACACAAGAGGAAGCAAAGCACCACCTACCAATGCCCCCACTGAGAGGCATGGGGAGTAAAGTAAAAACCGGCCTGGAATCAGGAGGCTTCGCTTCCTGGCCTCTCTGCTGGCCACTGGCTGGCTGCCCTTATCAAATCTCCTCACCTCCTGGGCCTGTTGTGGGCAGAAATGGGGCTGAGGGCTCTCTAGCTGGTTCAAGGATGCTGTTGAGGAGCATAGTCTCGGTGAGAAGACCCTACTGTTTGTGCTCCGAGTAGCTTCAAGCGCAGGAACTGTGTCAGCAAACAACTGTTTTTTAGCTAGTCTTCCACAACTTAACTTTTCAGTCTCCACCTGTGATGCAGAAAATGTTTGCTGACCAAGCAGATGATTGAGCTGCAAGAAGTCCTCACCAGGATGGACATTTCTTCAGTTGAGGTAGGAGGTAAACCTGGCTTCGGTCCTTGAAGGCTCATGGAGAAGAAAAGAGATTGAGGTGGTCAAAAATAATTATGAGCACTTCAACTCTACAATTACATGTAGTAATAATAATGATAATAAAAGTAGGACCTCCAGTGTGATCTCTTCATGTCTGCTCTTGTCACATTCTCATAACCAGCTGTGAGGGAGGCAGAACAGAAATTATGACCTTCTTGGTGCAATGGAGGACACCAAGGCACAGGGAGGCCGAAGACCCTGGGGCCGCCTGGGTGATGATGGCTGAGCTGGATCTGGACTGTGCGTCCTTTTCCTCCTTATCCCAGGACCTTTTTACTGGACATGACTCATGACAGCTATTATGAAGCAGAAACATCTTCCAACTTTGTTTGTGCAACCACTTTTAAACTTGATGCATGTCAGAGCACTTCTCTGAAGAAGGAAGAAAACTAAGATGGATTCATTCAACAAATAATTGTGCTGAGCACTCACTTTGTGCCAAGCACCTGGGATTCAAAAATGAACAATATGTGATCTCTACTTCCCAGCAGTTCAATTGATTAGATAGGTCTTTTTGCTTATTTAAATTTCTCATTTTGTATTGCATAGAATCACCGACCAAAAAGTGACATCCCCATCCTGCAACTATTTTTGTATCCCCACGAAATTCCACGGGGCTGCATCCACTGATAGGAGAAGGCACACTTCTAAAATCAGGAGAGGGTATCCAGGAACAAGGAACAAACATGAAAAACGGTAAGCAAATGCTAAAACCACTCCTGGCTCTGGGAGGGGCTTGGACTACGGGGAGATGAGAGAGGCCCCTTGGCTTGGTGCAAAAGTGCTTCCAGGAAAGAAGCTGGGAGGTGCTTCCTGGACAAAGGCTGAGGGACTGACAGGGAGTCAGAGAGGCAGCCCCAAGAGCCACTACACACCACGATCAGATGCTGGAAGGAAACGCAAAGCCCATTCTTTGAACACACACAGTCATTGAGGTCCTGTTTCCACAGATGAGAGCTTGAGACCACACCCCACCCACAGCAAATCCTTTTCTGAATTGATATGTAGAATCTTAAGGGCAGAGGCTTAAAGCTCCAAGCTAGCTTGACAATGGGCTAAATCCTGTCACTAAATCTCAAAAAAACCTTTTTATCATTTTACCTCTTTCCCTAGACTGGACCCAACCATGCCTGGTCCTATGAACAGAAAAAATATTCAAGCCGCTCTCTTAAAGCAGCTTTTATCGCCTCAGTGAAGTGGCAGTTTGGGGACAAATGTCGCACATGAAGAACCCAAATGTTCCAAGCCTAAATAGGATTCTAGCAACACACTCTTAACTCACAGAAAACAACCTCTAACTTAGATTTCTACTTTCCTTTGCAGAATCCGTAGCCTGGCCACACTGGTTTTAACTCCACAGGCCTGAAGACGCAAGCAGAAGAGACTCAGGAAAGCCAAGGACTGAGCGAATTCACAATGCAAGCAGGAACATCAGAAGGCAAATTAGGGCCCACATGGTTTCGGTTTTAATGTTCTTCGTTTTGTTTTGTATTTTTCTTTAGAGATGGCATCCTGCTCTGTTGCCCAGGTTAGAGTGCAGTGGCTCGATCATAGCTCACTGCAGCCTTGAGCTCCTGGGCTCAAGCAGTCCTCTTGCCTCAGCCTCCTGAATAGCTGGGACTACAGGTATGTGTCACTGAGCCTGGCTGCTTGTTTTGCTTTCTAAGACCACATTTACATTAGCCCATCTATTGTTCAGAGTCTTGCTGTGTTGCCCAAGCTGGTCTCAAACTTCTGGGATCAAGTGATCCTTCCGCTTCAGCCTCCCAAGTAGCTGGGATTACAGGTGTGTGCCACTGCGTCCAGCTTAGCCCATCTTTTTTGTTGTTGTTTTTAAATTTTACTTTAAGTTCTGGGATACATGTGCAGAATGTGCAGGTTTGTTACCTAGGTATACATACATGTGCCATGGTGATTTGCTGTACCTATCAACTCGTCATCTAGATTATAAATTCTGCATGTATTAGGTACTGGTCCTAATGTTCTCCCTCCCCTTGTCCCCTACCCCCTCACAGGCCCCGGTATGTGATGTTCCTTGCCCTGTGTCCATGTGTTCTCATGTTTCAACTCCCACTTATGAGTGACAACATGCGGTGTTTGGTTTTCTGTTCCTGTGTTAGTTTGCTGAGAATGATGGTCTTCAGCTTCATCCATGTCCCTGCAAAGGACATGAACTCATTCTTTTTTATGGTTGCATAATATTCCATGGTGTATATGGGCCACATTTTCTTTATCCATTCTATCATTAATGGACATTTGGGTTGGTTCCTGTCTTTAAAACAATGAAGAAATGCTATAAGAGCCAGGCCATTGGGCTAAAAGTGGAGTTGAATTATCTCCATGTTATAAACATAAAAAATTAGACCCAGAACTTGAAAGAGGTCTTAGAAATAATCTAATTTATTGACGTTATTTTTCAGTGAACAGTCTGAGGCCTCAGTCATACTGATAGTAAGTATGACCAGCTACCACTTAAAGATCTCCCACTCAGAATCCGGCACTGGGTAAGGATCATGTAATGGTTTGCCAGGGCTACTGTAACAAAGCACCGCAAACTGTGTGGCTTAAACAACAGAAATGGATTGTTTCACATGTCCAAGATAAAGGTGTCGGCAGGGTTGGCTCCTTCTGAGGACTGGCAGGGAAGGATCTGTTCCATGCCCCTCCCTCCCAGCTTCTAGCAGTTTGCTAACAACCTTTGGCATTGCTGAGCTTGTGGAAGTGTCACCCTGAGCTCCGCCTTTGTCTTCACGTGGTGCTCTCCCTGTGTGCATGCCTGCCTCTGCATCCAAATTTCTCCTTATTATAAGGACACCAGTCACTTGGGAGTAGGGTCCACCCTAATGACTTCATCTTAACTAATTATATCTGCAATAACTCTATTTCCATATAAGGTTCTATCCTGAGGTACTCAGGTTAAGACCTCAACATATGAATTCTGGAGGACACAATCCATCCCAGAAGTCTACCTTGTATTGGGTCCTCACGGCAAGGCTGCAGACCTGGGGGGTTCGTAGCCCAGTCCCACCTCCCACGAGCTAATGAATGTGGGTAAGTTGTTTAACCTCCTTGTGCCTCAGTTTCTTCATCTGTAAGATGGGGATAACACAGGCCCACAATTTTGAAATGTTAAAAGCTCCAAAATATGAAAAAATGTATTTATAACTCATTTGGCAGCAAAACCTGACCTGAAACAAGCACATTGACTGAAAGTATCCTTGTGTCTTGAGTTGACACAAGGATACTTACAGTCTTTACTTATGCAACATATATATGTGTCACTACAGAAACTAGAAACATCAGTATATTTCATAACAGGAAGCTGTTGCAGATGCCATGAGGTGTTATGAAGCCTATGGTACATATACTGTATATCTTTCTCAAATCCCCAAGTTCTGACATGCCAAGCACTGCTGGTCCCAAGCAAGGGTTTGAATAAGGGACTGTGACTCTTCAGTGTATCTATCACAGGGTTATAACGAGGATTAAATGACTTAATGTTTGTACAGTGCATAGACTATTACCTGGCACATAATAAGCACTATATACATATTTTTTAAATAAAATAACAATAGCTATCTTGTCTAAAGTAACTCAGGTGGAAGGCTAGAGAGGAAGGTTCTTTGAGACTTTGAGTGCAGGAATGCCTGACAAGAAGCCGTGCTGTCTGTGTGTCATGCTGCCTCTGCGACTCCAGGTCTGGGGCTCATGTCCTTTGGTTCACAAACTAGCCTTGTTTATACAATAGTTTGAAGCAATCTCTGCCTTCTGAGATGATTATTAAGTGAAATCAGCCTTCTGTTTGTATTCGTCAGCTTCGCTGCCATAGCAAAATACCACAGACTGGGTCACCTAAACAACAGAAATTGATTTTCTCACAATTCTGAAGGCCAGAAGCCTGAGATCAGATTGTCTGCAGGGTTGGTTTCTTTGAAAGGCTCTCTCTGTGGCTTGCAGGTGGCTGTCTTCTCCTTCTGTGTTCACATGGTCTTCCCTCTGTGTGCATCTGTGTCCTAATCTCTTCTTATAAGGACACCAGTTATACTGCATTAGAGCCCATCCTAATGACCTCATTTTAGCTTAATTACTTCTTTATAGGCTCCATTTCCAAATACAGTCACATTCTGAGGTACTAGGGGTTAGGGCGTCAATATACGCATGGTGTGGGGGAGGAGTGGGGAAAACAGTCCAGCCTATAACACTATTTTTAGAAACTAGATAAATTATCACTCACAGCAGATGAATCCCATATGCTTGCTGGCTTGTTTCTGCCACAGCATGTTTCAAAGTGTTGTCCAGGACCACCTGCAATTGAATCACTTGGACTTTTAATAAAAATCAGTCTGCTCCAAGTCCTTGAGTCAGAATCTGGGGCAGAGGAGCACAGGGCTCTGGGATAAAGCCTACTTGTCTTTTACATTCATATGAAGATTTGGTTTAATTAAAGGGACTTGGGAAAAGCAAGGTAGCGAGGTATGCCACCTCCCAACCCCACTGCACCTCCACAGCCACTGCAGTCACCCCAGGTAAGGGCAGCCGAAAGAAGAGCATGAGGGAGGGAGTCAGGCAAGTGTGAGTCTGAGCAGGGAGCGCTGTGTATCTGGGGTCTCCTCTAGTGTGGCTCACCGGAGGGCCATGAGACAAGCTCCTCTCCACTCTAAGTTGGCCTCCCAGTACCAGTGAATGTCCCCACCCTCACCCCTTTCAGTAGATACTGAAATAGGGGACTTTGCAGTGTAGATGCCAGGAGAGGTTATAGGGGAGGCTGCCTACCCAGAAATGCCAGGCTGTGTTCCACAGCCTGATAAAGATTCTAGTCATTTCTCTTGGCGAGTATTCCTCTACCCCTAACCCCAGCTCCTGGCAGAACTCAAAGTTGCCCCCGCCCCTCAGAATGGTGGAAGACCTGAGCCTTGAAATAATGTTTAAGAGACAGGCAATAGTGGCAATTTTCCCAAGCCAAATGCTGAACCAGGGAGCAGAGGTTGAGGCAGGTTCACATAGTCACTGACTCTGCTCCAAAGCTTCCAGCGATGTGGGTAAGCTGGTGGGTCATTTGGCTTCCTGCAAGCTGATGTATGGGAAACAGGGTTGTCATACACATGGGTACAGCCTTTGAATCACGTCCCAGACAACCGCTGTGAGCCCTCTAGAGTGGGTGTCTGCTGCAGGTGTACGTGTGTGCGCACACCCATGTCCCACGCCTGTGTTAGGGTGGCCACCAGCCTCTCAAGTCAAAAATTCCAGCAAAACAGCTGTTGAGTGGGACTCTAAATGATAGTGATTTTCCTAGCACCATGACAACAAGACACCATCAAAGCTAATGGCGCTAATCCATCCCTCGTCTTTCTTTGCTGGTTCCGGCTTAGATTTTGTTTCTTAAAATACTTGCCTGGCTGGCAAGGCAGTGACTCACCTGCACCAGGACTGAACAGAACAGGCAGGAGGTGCTTTCTTCTGAAGAGCTGTCAAGAGCCAATACAGCACCTGAGGTCTTTCATTTCACACGTTGTTCCTGTCAAGGGGGAGACATTCTTATTCTCTTGTCAAAGTTGGGATTGCCAAAGAAAGCAAAGTGGTCAGAATGTGTCAAACTTTGGCACTTGTATTAAACAGAGTTTGAGGAAATCATGCAGGTTTGGCTGAGAATCTCTTCCTCATCTTCCATCCAGTGCAAGATAGACCACATTTTTACAGAGAACTGTCAAAAAGGAAAGTTCACATTAGAGTCACTCAGCTCCACGTGCGTCCTCTGGTGGCATCTCTCTCAGTGTCAAATCCTGTTAGGACTCCACGAATTCTGAGTATTTCGATGACTTAAGTACTCTTCCGAAGGTGGTAATTTGGAAATTGCATTGTTGGTAAATTTGAATTAATAAAAAAGCAAAGTCAAGAATTTTATTGGCAATGAAAGTAGTTTACTGGTTATCTCTTAATTCCATTTGAATTCCACAGGCCATAAACTGTGGTATATTGTGAAATACCCTGAAGTCGGGTGTGGATTCACATCCTAGATTTGCTGCTTATTAACTGTGTGACTTTAGCCAAGTTACTTAGCCTCTCTGAGTGTCCATTTCCTCAGCTGTCAAAGTGGGAATGATACCATTTCCCCAATTATATTGCAATGAATATAACAAGACATCGTGAGTGTGAGAGATGCTAGGACAGAGGCTGGCCCATAATTGCTCATGTCTTTTCCTGTCTCTTGTTTTTTTCTGTAACTTAAGTGAGCATCATTTATAGCTAACTAATATTTTAATGTTGACACATTTCAGTAGATGGTTTTCCATACTTTTAGAATGTCGTAAATAATTCTCCAAGAAGTAGAAATGACTGGGATACAAACCCTGAGACCAGCAGTTGCCAAAGTCACAAGAGGTGATTTGCAGGGTTCAGACAGTGATGTAGGAGCATAGCTTCCGTTTTGACTTTCAGAGATTTGGGAGCAGTGAGTTGTAGTGCCCTTTGGAAAGGTCAGTAGAAATGCTCTGTGAAATGTGAAAAGCTGGGTGCCAGCTCCAGGGGTGCCAGGTGAGGTCCCACTGGAAGCCTGCCTCTTCCACCCCTGCCTCCCTGTCTTCAGCAGCACCCTTTCATTTTCTAGTTAGATTGGCTCAGGTCCCAGCTGACTCCTTCTGGATGTCCAGCTATAGACATCTGTCTTTGTCTCCAGCACTTTGAGTCAGGTTTTCATAGTTGCTGGGTTTTTTTTTTTTTTTTCTGTCATTATTGTGTTTTTTGTGGTCTTAGTTTTCTACCAGACTTTAATGGAAGGAGACCAGGTTTGAGTCCAGCTGCACCCCTTATTAGCTGGGTCATTAAGGACAAGTCCCTTCACCTCTTTGAAATGCAATATTCTGATTTATATATGGGGATCCTACATTATTAGGTTGTTGTGAGAGCTAATGTGACTAAAATTCACATTGAAGTCTTTTGTAAACTGTAAAGTGCTGAGAAGAAAAGATAATTTCAAACCCCTCTTAGCAGGTATACTTTACTGGAACATATACATGCTCAAAGATACGTGTTAAGTTACTTTATGATTAAAGATATTTGCCACAAGAATGTTGTTCAATCCCCAAACACACGAGGGGATATTCTGAGCATTCTGCGGTGCTTCCAGTGGGTTCCCGGGTGGTTTGTGAGGGAATTTGCCATTTACGTTGTATTTGCCATGTCCAGGCTCATGCTTGGGAACATCCTGTTTGATTCCTATGAGGTAGGTATTAGCCAAGTTTCCCCCACCAGGTATGATGGTTAATTTTGTGTCGACCACACTAGGTTAAGGGGCATCCAGATAGATGATAAAACATTATTTCTGGGTTGTCTGTGAGGGTGTGTCTGGAAGAGAGTAGCATTTGAATCAGGGGACTAAGTATAGGAGATCACCCTCACCAATGCAGGCGGGCAGCATCCAACAGGCTGAGGGCCAGAATAGAACAAAAAGGTGGAGGAAAGGTGAATTTGCTCTCCCTTCTGGAGCCAGGACATTATCTTCTTCCACCTCCAACATCAGAATTCCAGATTCTTGGGCCTTCCAACTCCGGGACTTATATAAGCTGCTTTCTCTATGTAAGCTGTCACCCGCGTTCTCAGACCTTGGGCCTCTGACTGGGAGTTACAGCATCAGCTCCCCTGGTTCTGAGGCTTTCAGCATCAGACAGAATTATACCCCCAGCTGTCCTGGCTCTCCAGCTTGCAGACTGCATATCATGGAATTTCTCGAGCCAATTTCATGAGCCAATTCCCATAATAGATCCCCTTCTCATATCTGTATATGTCCTATTTGTTCTGTTTCTCTAGAGAACCCTGTGTGATACACTATGCATGCACAAATAAAGTCACATCAAGACTAATAATCCAAATGTTAGTTTGTTACCACCATTTTGTCACTTTGAACCTAGCTCCCAGCAAAGCACCTTCTACCCTGCACTTTTGGGGAGTTCCTGGGCTAGGAGGTCTTCCATGTGCTCATCAGCAAATCAATGCCCGGCACTGTCCCTTTCTCTGCTCTGCCATCTCACTCTGATAAAGTTGCTCTGTGGATTGCC